TCTGTCTGCCTCATCATTCAAGAGTACTTCACTCTGAATGCTTCACCACGTCTTGAAAAATTTCACACTGAAAAATGATGAGGTGGTTCTGAGATAAAGTTTTCAGTGAAATTTCTCCCCAGGTAAGGGAGATATCTTGCCTGCATGTTCTTCAGATTTTACTATAAAAATTGAACGAAGGAGTACACCATGAAAAACTTCTGTTTCAACTTCTGCAGAAAATGAACATTGGAGTGATTCAGTAAAATGTTGAAGTTATCCAAGTATATCTATAGATGTTATAAAGCTATAAGATCTATTGAGCTGTATTCTATCTTGTTTTGGGTCTGGGTAAATTTTCTAATTTGATAGAGATATACTGCATACCGTGAAGCTCAGCAAGGTATTAATGGCTTTGAAGGTTTTGTGGTGGAAAAAAACAACATTCCTTGTAACCATTTCTGATGTGATATGTCAGATGTAGATTTTTCTAGTTTTCCTACCTGCTTTTCCTTGTCTTCCTTGGGTCTGGAAGAGCTAAACATGAGTGAGAAAAGCCAGGTATGTGAGTTCAAAATGAATGGAAAAAAAATCAGCAGGAAGCTTCAGCTGTTTTTCCAAAGCTGTGCTTGTTTGTTTCACTTGCAGTGAATCTCCTGACTTCACCAAATGCAGCAGTGCCAATGTGTAGTGAGCCCTGCCTGCAAGTACTGAGGCCACAAGTTTTAGTAAGTCTATGCTACTTGTAAGGACAGCAGTTTGCTCTGCTGTCCTTGATATACGTATGGAAAGACAAGAAGAGTGAAAAGAGGTGGGGTTGCCAGTGATTCATCATCTTGTGGCCTGAGTGAAGCAATATGCACAGCTGCTGTCTGCATGTATCATTAATTTTAGTCTGGAAAGCTTTTATAGGCTGTAGTTTTAACTGAAGTAGTCTTGAAGAGAATCATCTATTTCTGCAGTTGTTCCAGCGGATGTTTCAGCATGCTCTTATGTTTCTAAGTACTGTCTTCTGACAATGTCCTACGCATGTCTCTTTTTTTTCATACTGGCTCCTTTCTTCTTTTTATGGGTGGTGAACTGAGCAAATAAGAAAAGGAGTATTAATCTTTCTATATAAATTTGTCAGTTCTGAAATTGGAAATGCTCCTTCAGTGGAAGAGATTTTATTACCCTCGCTCAGGAACTGTGAAACCGAAAATAACAGCATTACATCAATTTCTATTTGACATCTGTGATAAAAGTTGTATTTTCATCTCGTTTGGAATGTTTGTTCCATGATTTTTCCCTTTGTTCCTTTCATGATCTGGAGGGCTTGTAGATTGAGCACATCTTTGTTCACCTTTGCTGAAAAACATGATTCAGGTTTTGGCTATTGAGTTGGAGATCCTGGAGTAAAGGTAAAACAAGGCAAGACTGCTGTCTACCCTAACAGTAAAGGAAAGCTGTAACTTAGAGGTGTTTCTCCAACAGGAAGCTTGTTCAGAAATGAAGTGGAACAGCACTCTCCTGGACCTCTCTAGGTTTTGTTGGAGGCTTGTCACATAGCACATCCAGCCTGTTATAGCCTAGTTAAGTCACTTCCCAAGAGGATATAATTACAAGCATGTGGTAAGTCATAGAAATGCTCACTGATGTTGCAGCCTAATTTCCATGCTCATTCTAATACCTTTTTTTTTTGAACTTTGGCATATTTTATTTCATATTTATTTGTCTTATAACTCTGAGGGGAAACAAGGGAGTGAATATCCCTGGAGCTCTTCTGAAGGCTTACCAACCTTGGTAGTCTTGTAGTAGAGTAGAGGAAATAGCTAAATAATTACAGTGATATAACAAAATGCTACTTATGAAATGTTTTTAAACTATGAGCACGAATTAGCTAAATAAAAAAGCATTACAGTTGTTTTCCAGTTCAAGACCTAAAGTTGATTGTGTTAACAAAAGTTGGTGCTTTGTATACTGAGGATGGAGAGTGAAAGTGGAGGTAGTGGTGGAAACTGAAAAGTCTGCTTTCTCAATGGTGTTGACATTCACTTCATGGAACTGTTTATCCTGAACAGCAGAAGTCAAGAGTTGCATGCTCTGAGTTCTTCAGTAGGTAAATAGACTCAACTGAATAAGGAACACATATTGCAACATATGTCACAGAAAAGAATGGAAAAAAATAATGAGATCAGGGCTGTATATTTAGTTTCCGTGAGTTAATTGATTTTATGTAACGAATTAGCTATGTTGTATCTTTCACCAGTCCCATAAACTGATTATCTGCTCTAATCCTCTCCATCCCTGTTGAGCTCAAGTGGTGGGGGTTGATTTCCAAATTTTTCCCCATAATCATGAGGGCTATATTCTTTCTGTTTCTGCTAGGGACTAAGTCTGTGATGTAATCACTCTGAGACTTGGAATAAAGTCATATGAATCTACTGGGTAATCGAAGATGAACACCGTTTTTATGCTGACTTGACTTCTGCAAACTTCTTTGACTTCTGGAAAAGGCGAGGTGTATTTTAAGGGCAGTTACACATTTAGAATGGAAGAGTTTCATCTAGATGCTTTTGAAGAGGTAAACAGCAAAATAATTGAAAATCTTTGTAAAAGGAATCACCCTGTCCTAAGCAGCAACTTCACTGCTATAATTAGCAAGAAGACCATTCCAACAATTCCCCACAACCTGCATATTTGGGCAGATTGGCTTTACGTAGGGATGTGTTTATCTGCATTTTAGCACAGTGTTAGGAATGGTGGGGTCAGATAGGGCTATGCCTGTTGACTGCCTCAGATACCTGCTCCAGCCTGTGCACAACTGAGTGCCCACAGCTGAAGCACTCCTTTTTTTGTTATTTTTTTTCATGGCAACCTCCAGTGTGTAGAGAATGCTGGTATATTTGGGCCTCCTAGCAGTCCAGCTCCCAGATGAGGCTGACAGAGTTGGCAGGGCATGGCCAGGTGAGTGTGTACACAGGTATCCAAACCTCTCTGTAGAGAGTTGTGTGCAAACCTTGGGAATACTGAGTTCCATCTGGAACCTTGTGGATTATTAGGAGGCCACCAGATCACGCTGCTTATTAGAAATGCAACTGCCACTGAATCATCCAGAAAGTGTTTTGAGAAAGTCTGAAGAGTGCTCAAAAATCTGAACACTTGCAATTATCCTCCTATACTGAACACACTTGGGTGTCAGGAGTTACAGCCTCACAAGTTGCAGGAGGTCAGCTAGAATTTAACTGTGGGGAAATTAAAAAAAAAAAAAAAAAAAACAAGAAAAGAAAAAAAGAAAAAAAAAAGGGGGGATCTGTAAAAATCCAGAGCAAAGGTTGGAAAAAGTAGAAAACAGTGTGAAAAGAAGATAACAGAAAATAATAGAGTGCTAGCAATCTTATCTAAAATACTGGAAATATTTCCAAGCTTGAAATTCGCTGCATTAACAGTTTTTCTTGTTAAGCTACATGAGAAACACTAAGAGCTTTGCAGACACTTCTAAAGTGTCAGATTGCTTAAATGACACTTACCTGACTCTCCAGCCTTCTCCATGCTCCAGCAGAGTTTTGTGTTGGCTGTGCCATGCCCAGTGTCTTGGTCACTGCAAACATCACTCAGTACAGAAGAACAGAAGCTGGATCAGGCCAGTACATTGTAGTACCTAGAAATGGAAAAAATACATATATTTAATGCTGCAATAAACCTCGAAGTGGCTCTCAGGTGATCTGTCAAGAGCATTCCAACCAACCAGCTGAATTTTTAAAGGGATTTTCATAGAAACACCAGATAAGTCTTTTCAAAAGGATTACTTTTATCTAGAGACCAGATACCCATCTTAGACTGTATCTCTGAACACTGCAACGTAAGAGAGGAGAGTTAGTCTGGAACAGAGGTATTGTCATCAAATAATTTTTTTATGACTTCTGATGAAAATTAGAACAGAAGTTGTAGCTAAGTTAGCTAATAGGAAAGTCATTAACATCAGCATAATTCTGTGGTTTGCAAAGGGCTAGAAGAGTTCCCCTAATTACATCAACAGAGCATGACACGTGTTTTTAATAGCTGCTTTTTATGTGTCAGCCCAGCTATGCAATTTTACTTATGTTCTCCTCTACTTTACAAGGTAAATTAGAAAAGAATAAATGAGGCAAACCACACAGAATCAAGGTCAGGGCAGCAGCAATTCAGTGTGCCACTTCTTTTAAACAGTGTTTTCATAGAAGGTGTTATGGCAGCTAAACAGCTCATTCTCCTTTTTATTATCTCTTTATAGATGAAATGATAAAAAACTTAGTAGCACATTTTCCTTCTCCTCTATTACGTTTTTTCTACATTCATTTTGAAGACTTGCAGGTGCTGGGGTTGGAGAAACAAGAAATTTCTTTTGTTAGAGCAGTGAATTTTGTATTCACAGCAAGACTTTGAAGACACACAGCAGAAAAATATGAACACACTTTGGTAGTGCAATTTATCTGAATATTAATATTTGTATTTTTTATAAAAGCAGTGCAACATAATTTGCTAGAAAATAGATCTCCAAAGCTACTAATTTATTTACTGTTTTTCATATTGTACAGGTGGCCTGTGAAGTTACAATGTCTGGTTTTAATTTGTCTCATAAATGGACTTGGTTTCTTAGGTTTAGGCCTGATTTAAGCTTCTCCAGGCTGGGAATTTATGGAACAGGCTGATGAGAAAGGCTCTTAAACTGCACTTGTTTAAACAGAGCAGTTGAGAGTCCACCTGAAGTACCTGTGTAGTTATGCGTGCCACCTTGTGAAAAAAGTGGGAGTAATTGTCAGTTCACGTAAACACAGGACAGTGGCCTTGCTAGCATTAAGGAGATAAGGTGGGACATCACATCACCTTGTGCTGCAATTGCTCGATACAGGCTTGCAAGGAAAGATGAGCAGAGAAGACTAGAGGGTGCGTAGATGTAGTGCAAGAAACTGTGGTGTACAGGGATTGTGAGGTCTGATGAAAGGAGGAATCAACATGAAGACATGACAGTGAGGGTCTGCTGAAGGATGCTTGATCATGGAAATGAATGAAGCTGTCTTTAAACAAATGGAAAATGTCTCCCTTTTGCAGACTGGATTAAAGCTACCCAGCACCTGATGGAAAGTCAAGACGAATGGCTCAGAAAATCCATTATGTTTCTGAAGTGATGCTCCACGTGATACAGGCTGCATCTGAAGTACTAGGTACGGTTTTAGCCCCACCATACAAGAGAGATGCAAAACTGGAAAGTCTGGTCCTAAATTGTTTGGAGACTGAACACACAGGCTATGGGACTTTGGTTTGTGCAACATGGATAAGAGAAGGCAAAGAAGATCCTTTTTTGGTTCTTTTTTCCACCGTATGGTTATAGAGAAGAGAGAGATAAACTGTTACCGGGGATGTACAGTAAAAGAACTGGAGAAAACACTGGATATGAGGGAAAAAAAATCACAGTGAGGGCAGTTATACAACCAAGGAGGCTTCTTGGAGAAACTGTGGAAGCTCCATCCTTAGAAATGTTCAAAAATTAGCCAAACCTGGGGCAATCTACACTAGTGTTGTCCCTGCTTTAGTTGAGAAATTGAGAGAGCTGATCTTTAGATACCTCTTCCAATATAAATTCTTCAATGAAATTAGGTGTTGGATTAAAAAACAATGTGGTAGAGGGGGGGAGCAAAGATATGAAATCATGCACAGATATGTGATTGGATAAACATTTTTTTCTTAGGAAATTAAATTAAACTCTGATAATTTCAAATGTGTAGACTGGGGAAACAGTCCAATTTCTATTTATGTGGGTGCTATTACCTACAGTTTTGTTAAGGCCTTCTGTAGCTATGTTTCTAACAATAAAACTGTTTTGGTCACTTTCAGCTTAAGATGAAATTGTTAGATCTGAAATTTCCTGTACTGAAAGTCTTATCAAACATAATTCAGTCATTTCCAAAAACAAATGAGCAAATAGAAGAACTAGAGAAAATGTTTATAACCATTTAATTAAAACCTCTTTTTAGTAATGTATTCAATTTGGCAGCCTAAAAAATCTGCGCAAAGTTTACAAAGTCAGAAGTGGATAGTTCATGTAATTACAGAAGAGATTTCTTGGCAATGATTTTTTGGTCTCCAGCAGTCTCTTCATAATGAACATACTCCATCTCAGATCTTCAGAAGCAAGCAGAACTCAAGGTATCAAAAAAGGCTTCCAGCAGGAACGATGTGGTGAAAGCCCAGGGAACAGAAATCAGTGATGCTGTTTGCAATACAAGAGAGGAATTTGAGTAATGTGGCTGAATGAAGGGCATACATAAGAGAGAGTGGAGGTGAAAGGAAGAAGGAAACCTCTGTTGTAAGAGATGTGGGAGGATTTTATGATCACTGAAGTATTTTCTTCTCCAGAAATAGAAACTGAACCCTACTCTCCTTACCTTCCTGTCAATTCATAACTTGAAAAAATTACCGAATTTTTAATAATAGTATGGTGTAATAATTTCCTTTTTCTCACACAGGATTCCTGACCAGAATGGATTATGTATGCTGAATAGGCCAATCTTGTGAAAGAGACTGTATCAATGTCTTCATCTGAAAAAAAGGAAGGATGCAAAAGGAAGAGGAAGATAACAGAAAGAAAAGTGTAAGTTCAGTGACAAGAGCAGTTGAGTTTAGCAGCTCTGAGAAACAGTCTCAACCTTGACTTCATCTTACCACCTCCATGTGACTTGAGCAAGTGACTTAACCCAGGTTTTTTTGCATGTCTGCCTTTTGGATAACTTGCCTCATGCTCCCCAAGCATACGTTTCTAGTCCCTACAGTCAGCTCAGATGGAGGTTTCTCCAGTGCAGGTAGTTACAGTTTGGAGAAATAAGTGCTCTCTACAGATCTTAATTCAAAAAATAATTGAGTTATCTCAGCAGCAACAGAACACACTGGGAGCTATATACGGGCATAGACAATCCTCAGGAATGCTCAACAGTCTCTTAAAAAAAATTCATCTCGAAGTATCACATACCAGACCCCAAATGATTAAATTCTTCAGATCTTTTTTCATTTATAAAATAAAATTCCCATTTCATTATCCTTCAGGGCTTTTGAGAAAATGAACTAATTCATGTTCAAGAAGCAATTTGATACTGTACTGCTGAGTGCTATAAATGGAAGGCAAAAAAATAAAAGATAAAATTAATTATTCTACATTTACAACACATTGCAAGGAATGTGCAGCAGATCAGATATGGGGATGTGCAAAAGAAGATTATCTAATTTTTCTATTGTATTTATATATATATATATATATATATATATATATATAAGAGTACAATGTCATTTCTTGTGCCCATGTAACTAATTACTGTACTATAAAATACAGTGGATACTTAGGCTGTAGACTTCTTTACAATTAAATGAAAATGATGTAAAATTAAATAAAATTAACACTAGAAAGCTGTAAGCAGTCAGGCAACATGTAAAGACCAATCCATTTGGCTTTTGCCATCACCATTGTCTGGTGTTGGCAATCGCAACATCGAGTCAACTTGTGGAATCCTCAACCTCTCTTGAAAAGCGGGACCAGTGCAACCCCCAGTGGACCCTCAATGCCACCTTCTTTTTCATCCCCTCTGCTGTATATTGGTAATCTGTGCTGCACATAGCAGTCCTAAGTACAGCTAATGTTAACTGTTGTATCAGAATTTATTCTGCTCTAGAAATGTGAAACACTATTTGATCCAATGACCCTTCCAAGAGTCAGCATAAATTAAAACTCTACCTAGCAACTTGAGCCTTACCAAACTACACTAAGCAAGGAAACAAACCATACTTTCTGTTTTCCACTGCAGGCTACAGTATATAAGCCTGCAGATTACTGTTACTCCCATTCCCACATCCTTAAAAGCATGTTACATACACCCAGTTTAAACTGGTATGCAGGTGCCTGTTGTTTTAAAATACTTTCAGAAGATCTAATGTAACATTCAAGCTGGGAATACATCATTCATAGAATCACTTAATCATCTGAGTTAGAAAAGACCTCCAAGATCAAGTCCAATCATGACCTTAACCTATTAAGTCCCATCACTAAACCTTGTGTATTAGTGCCATTAGTCCACACTTACTTCCTGGGATGGGAGACTCCACCATTCACTGGGAAGCCCATTTCAATGCTTGTGCACCTTCTCTGTAAAGAAATTCTTAACGTCCAATCTAAATATCTAAACAAGCACAACTTGTGACCATTTCCTTGTGTGCTCTCACTCATCACCTGAGAAAAGAGACTGGTGCCCTCCTTGATGCAGCTGTGGAGACCAATGAGATCTCCTCTCAGTCTCTTCTCTAGACAAACAACCTCAGTTTCCTCAGCCATTCCTTGTAAGTTTTGTTTTCTAGTCCCTTCACCAGCTTTTTGCTCTTCTTTGCGCACTCTCAAGGAATTCAACGTCCTTCTTGCAGTGAGGGGACCAAAAATGAATGTAGTGTAAGGTCTCAGTTGTTGCATGTGCAAGGGAAAAATTATTTTCCCAATCCTGCTAGCCACTATATTTCTGATGCAGGTCAGGTGTCATTGGCTTTATTGGCCACCTGGGCACGCTGCTTGCTCACATGTCATTTAACTAAAAAAACAGATAGAAAACATCCATAGCCTTTGCCTTACCTACTAAGCAAGTAATCTTGTCATAGGAGATAAGTTCAATCAGGCATGACCTGACTTTCAAAGACTGGCTACTTCTGATAACATGGCTGTCCTGCGTGTGCCATGTGAGGGATGCAGATACCTATTTCTCTTGCAAGGAGTCTGACGGCAGTAACCAGCTGCAGCTTTCAGGATGTCAAGAGCATAGATTTCCATGTTCCTGCAATTCCTTCCCCTGATCCTGTTCTTAGCACTGTCATATTTTGTATCTGCACATATGGTTCTTATGGGAGACAAGAATCTGACATTACAAATAACCTCAAGTCGTTGCCTTGGCATAGACAACAAACTTCTCCACACCATCTTGAGCTGTTTTTTCAACTGTAGGGAAGAAAATTACTGAGCACTTCACGCTCACATGCTCACAGCTTTCTGACAGGTATTACAGCCAGAGAAAGGTGCAGGAATTGACATTTTGGCTAGCTATTCACCATACAGTAATCTTTCTACTCAAAAACAATTTGCATCCAATAAACCTGTTTCATTTGAATTTTTATTCCCGAAATGACCTTTTTTTTAATTTAAAGAGGTGCTCTAAAGATGCGACAAATTCTAGTCATGGCTGTATTGGTCTAGCAACTTTGATATAAGATTTTTATCTGTCATAGAGTCTAACCTTATAGTCTAAAGGTATTTTCTTAAAGCAGGCTTTCTAGAACAGTTCCACAGGGGGGCCGGGGGAATAATCAGAGGTGTTTTTTTTTAAAGAGTTTCTGAGCATTAGTGGCAGAGTTAATTGTTGAACTATTAAACTATAGGTTGCAATTCATAGCGGCTATAGTTACAACAGTTTCTGAGTGATCACCCTTTGCTACCATTAAAGACCTATCTCATCTATTATGGCATGAAATACTGTAAGATGGTTTGTTACCTGCTGATAATAACCTACCAGCTAGGACAACAGTTTAATTATATACTAAACCTCCTGCTGGCAAATAAATGACTTCCAAATACTTCTGCTCTTCCCTTGTTTTTTCACACACACACACAAAAAAAAAAGAAAAAAAAAAAAAGAGAAGAATCATTTTCTTGAATAACTAGCCTTATCTACCCATGAATCCTGATGGAGCTAAAGAATGTGAAGAAGTCCCAGCCCAAACCTCTCAGAAAGAATTGCAAAATTCTTAAAGGTGCTGCTGGCCATGTGACATCTCTGCTTACACCGAGATAGTACAGACAGCTTAGATGACAATTACATCTTTTTGCAATGTTTCTTCCTTCAGATTCATTCTGAGCATGAGATCATAGCACCAGCTTTTGTAACAGCACTGGCTGAAGAAGAGCAGAAGGTACTTTACTGCTCAGAAATCTTTGAAATCAACAACTTAGTTGTTGAATCAACAACTAAGGTTCATTGTTCAGCAAGTAAACAGTGAAAAAATAAGTTTGTTCCGGGATCAATTGCATAGAATTGGAGGCCCCTTTTTCTATGAAAAGATAATCTGTGCATTTAGGTACTGGGGATTTGCTATATAATTTCATCTCTTTGGACTCCTGCTTAAAAGGCACCTTTGAGCAAATATTCCCATGATCTGTTAGAAGTTCTTTCTACTCGAGTTTGGTTCTTGCAGAGAGAAGGGCATCAACTAGTTTCAAAATGTCAGCATTTATTCCCGGAGTCATCTGCTGTCCTAGCAAAATCTGTAGAATAGAAACTGGAAAGCTGGGCTGTGTGAAAATAAAAAATGAAGATTTGGAAACTCCTTATAGAAAAATAAGTTACATATAAATAAGTGCTTCATATACATTTCTCAGACTGATAAATAGCAGATAACAAGTAACAAATGATAGGGACTTGTCCTCTTCATTTCTGAGCAATTTTCAAGCTTCAGAAACTCAGGGAAAGGCACCTCTGCAATTTTAAAGTCAGGCTAGTGAGTGACAAACACAAAAGGCAGCTTGCCATCCCAACTAGTGACGTTTTTGCCTGCTACCTCAGTTGTATACAGCTCACTACAACTTCACATTGAGAGCCAAAAAGTATTTATAGACTTGTAGTAACAGCCTGGACTTCCATTTTCAAGCAGTGTGTTTTACCGTGTCATGATGGCCTGTGCTGAAAAGATCATCTCTAGTAATGATTCATCTATGACAGTGATACTGAACAATTTTGTTAATGCGTGGTATCTTTATAGGTAATAACGTCATAAAATAGCCAGATTTGCCTCATCAGGAGTAGGAGACTCAGAATTCAGCATCTCCAAAAAAAAATAATTCTGGTTTGTCCTAAAAGATCTCATAGGTAAAATATTGTTTTTATTAAGACAGCAACCAAAAAATGGTTACCATGTACTAAAATACACTATCTGGGGATTCTGTGGCAAACTAAGACATGCAACTGCTTAGAGCTAGTGTTAGAGTAAAAGCAATTGCTCTGCACCCTTTTTGCCTTCATCTGTGAAGTCCCTGCAAATTTTGCCCTCTGAAAAGAAAGTAAATAAATGACACATTCGAAAAGCAGAAGTATTTTAGCATGTACACACAGTGAATGGATATGATTGAGTTGTTTTTGTTATGCCTAAAACACTACACATTGACTCTAGAAAACTGTCAGCATATTTTGAGAATTCTTAGTGCATTATATGATGTAATTTAAATAATCTTCGAAAATACTATCCTTCATTACGGGTTTGAAGGCGTACAGAAAAACATGATCACAAGGGTGTTTACTGCCCCTGAGTTTAGCTTTTTTAGCTGGTGGTGTTGTAGTGATGAATGAGAGGATACAGCAACAAGACCATATCATGTAGAAAAATAATACAGATTAAAAATGTACTTATGTACAGACTAACAATTTTATTCCATCAGTTGAGGTTGGGCTGCTGTCCTTTATTGGTTCCTGAAAGCTCTGTCCTGTTTCTTGAAAGTGATACCCTGTGCTAGCTTCTCCCTGCAGAAATGATCTATTTTACATCATTTTTGACAGAATACAGGAGAACAGTTCCTACATATTTCTGCACCTTCATGAGTTGTCTGCATAAAGCTGAACTCTGAGCATAGAGAAAAGTATCTGTGAGAACTGTCAGCTCCTGACAGTAGAAAGTTTGTATAAAATATATTACTGGCCACAGCCTGGAAGATGTTCATGCAAAGGCACGTAACAGCAAGCTGAAGAGAGATGGGATGTTTAATTCTTCTTAAAAAATCTAGCATATTATTCCTATTACCCAATAACTCCACATCAGCCTTTATCTCTGTTCTCTGCAATCCTTTTCAGTTTTCAAAGTCTGAGATGCCTTAGAATTGAATTGCCAATAGTATTTGTTTCCCCAGGGAATTCAAGCAAATTTAAAGGCAGTAGGATAGATAATGTTGGTGACCTTTATTGTTTGAATCTGCAAAGCTAAAATAATGATGACAGGCTATAAAGTTGCTTATATTCTTGGAGTTCAGAACAGTCCAATAGGCTCCAAAGGAAGGAATTCTATACTTTCATTTGTTTATACTACGTCGATCTATGTTTATATATATCATTCCAAGAGAAAATAACAGAGTGGTATCTTTCCATTTGTCTGTCTCATTTCAAATAAATTAGTATCTGGAATAATAATAATAAATTCGTATGTGGAAATGAACACATTTATAATGGGCAAAGGAACTTCTGTGCTGTTGTCTATCTGGAAAGTACAGCAAAACATAATGAAATAATGATAATCAGGAATTTCTCCTGCAATATCACACTGTTTTAAAGGAAAGCAGCACATATATACCTGCTGAATAAAGAGGAAATCATTAATGCTGTGTACATACTCAGTTGGGAGAATTTCTGGCTTTTACAGATGTTATTTTGCAAGTCTTAAAAATACAGTCCTTCACAAGTTCCTCCCCTATGTGTCCTTTTTCTCCTTTCTTTGGATTTCATTATTCAGAAAGTGTTATTTGGACAGCAAATTCATGAATTCAATTGTTTAGTTGGCTTGCTAACCAGATAATACTTTCCTAGTACACTGTTATCAGCTACTCTATCTCCGTAACACCATTTTCAGTAGGATTCCACTTGACTGCAGCTTTCAGTTCTGTCCATACATTTAATGTTCTTTCAAGAGCATGCCTGAGGTTGGTAAATAATTTTTCTCCCAATCTTTTATTTCTCTCCTTGTTATGTTCACTGGTCTCACAGAGGTGTCTTTTTTTTTTTCCCTCCTTATCTTTGCTTTGTGAGTTTGTTAATAAATGATAAATTTTCACTGACTAGCACCAATTTTCCATACTTTCTAATGCCTCTCCTACAGGAGAAATGTGAAAGAGGCACCAGGTTGGTGGTTATATATACTTGAAGTACGTCTCTTTCATTTATAAGCCTTAAAAGGCAACTAAAAAAAATAATAATAATTGAAGCTAAGCCGTATGAATTCCCTCATCCTTTTAATACAAGAAAGACATTTTGAAGAAGCAAAAGTATGTTGAAGTTTGTAAAATACTTACAAGCCTCGGAAATCTATGTAGCAAGTTGATACGGAAACAAGGATTAAGTTTGCACTGGTGACAGCACTCAGTGCTCCACCCCCTGCTCCATTCTGTTTTACTTTCAGTTACATAATAATTTAGGACTGTGTTTATGCATAATACAAAGTGGAAATTATTCTCACCACAGGGAGCAGATTTCACAACTCGATTTGTGAGCAATACTCAAACTGGGGGAAAAACCAAGAACAACAACAGGGGGAGGCAAATATGTCTCAAATTTAGAAGGCAGGCAAGTATGAACAGCAGCTGCTTACTGTCTCAAGTAGCAACAGTTACGTATGCTATTTCTTATTCCATGAAGGGTGGGAAGCACGTAGTTTGTGCCTTTGTACAGTCCTCTGCCTCTTTGTAGCTTAAGTGTATTCTCTCAGACAGAAGATCCAATGACTGTCTTAATTTGAAAGCTGTAGCTTTTTGCTGTAATTCCTCCTTTTCTTGAAGCAGACTCTGCAGGAGAAAGAGAAATTGCTTTTTGAGGCAACACCAATAAAGAAGAGCATGGCCATGGAAGAAGACTGGCAGAAAAGAACTGAAAGGGAACAGCATCTAGCATGCCGTGGGATCACAAGGCAGGGAGGTATATTTGGCACAAGTGACATCAGAACAATAGCCTTCTAAAGTTGCTGGAAAAGTATTCTATGAATTGCACTGAGCTAGAAAATTGTGGATTTTTGTCGTTAGGATAAGTGTGGGTTTAGCACCTATCATAACCAAGGGCACAGTAGCTGTAATCCTGCAGTCCTGCATAATCACCTCATGTTGAAAAGCCTTTCTTACAGTGAGTTAAACTTGCATTATGGTCCTGATAAGACCTGGTAGCCATGGGAGTTCTCTAAGGTTTCCAGGTATCATCACTTAAATACATAGAGGTCACATACTCCATAGGCAAGAGTGAAAGTAGCACTTTCTATCCATGCAGTCCTCTTCCGCATCGCTATGAGTTCTGGTTATTATTCTTTGTATGCCACACTGTGAGGTGATAATAATACTCTACTGTTAAATGAGAAGGTTTTAGCAATGGACCTAGCAACTCTCCTGTGAGCTTCTAGGGTTAGGTGTTTCCTTTCTGCTTCTCAGTGAAATAGCTTTTCTTTCTTTTTTTTTTTTTTTTTTTTTTTTTTTTTTTTTTTTTTTTTTTTCCCAGGAACGCTGTTTATAAAGCCATTTATTCATAAAAATACTAATTGATTTCTTGTGTTAGAATATTTTATTGCAGCCAAATTCAGAAATTTTATTAAAGGCTTTAAATGAGACTTCTACATCTTCAGCAGCCATCATAAAATGAAGAAGCTGGGATTACAATTGTTTCTCATGGTTCTAGATGGCTGCATGAGGAAGCAATGTGCAATAACAGTGCAAGTGCATATTATACCTGTGGTCCAACACTTGGGCCCAGCATTCCTTCTTCAAGGAAGGCACAAAAAGAAATGCAGCCACACTGATTAAATCTTGTACAGGAACTGAGTCAGAGTCATTAGCCCTGAAAAAGCAACAACAACTTAGAATAATGTTACCCACGCCACAAAAGCAGAACTCACAAATATGTGTTTCTAGGGACACTGACATGACAATGTATGGGTGTGATCACTGTACCGGGGTCCTTGTAGACTGTCTCACTAAGGAGGGTTAATATAATTTTATAAATTGATGTGCAGGCTTGGGAAGTGATCTTTGCCCCTACTGGCGGCTGTTGGAAAACTAGGCAACATTAGAAAGAGAAAATAAAAGTAAAAACACAACTGGAATTCTTGCTGTGGCAAAGTGCAATAATGCAAACAAAAAGAAGACAGCATCGCAGGAAAAGCAGCAGCCTAGATGAATATTTAAACCAAAGGAACTTACCTATTAATTCATCAGGTGTGGATTCCTCAGTACAAGAGAGATGTGGACCTGCTGGAGTGTGTCCAGAAAAGGGCCACAGAAATGATCCAAAGAACACATTTCCTACAAAGACAGACTGAAAAATCTGGGGCTTTACAGGCTGGAGATAGCACAAAAATGTGCTTCCTAAATACACAAGGGATGTTTTATAGTCATCTAACTGCTAATATCTGTATCAAGGTGTTCATTTTTAACATATATAATTCTTACACTCTCTCAGGAGCAAAATATCCACTTCTAATTTATGCAAGTTTCATTTACTATTATTCATTTATTATGCAAATTTCCTTCACAGTGGACGTATGCTATTTGACAAGATATTGGTCATTACTCTTACCAAAGAGCTATTAAATTGTAATTTACTGTTATAAACACAGTGACAAAGAATGTGAATAACTTACATCAGGTAAACTGTAAAGTCAAAATGTTGAAATAAAATGGAATAACTGAAAATTCAAACATGACCTTCCTGATTTGAAGCAGTATCACCCAAACTTCTGGTGTGGCTTCACAAGAGGTGAAAAAAAGTGCAGATTTTGTTTAGTTCTACTTATAAGTGTTTGCCTGTAATTTCATGAAATGAATTTGTTTGAAATTGGTGCTAGTTATGTTACTAGAGGAGAAAAAATGGAGTCCAAAGTATTGCTATAGGAGCAAATAAGATGTAGGAAGAAAGGAAAACTCTTCCTTTCAATGAGGTCTGTGTGTTTTGAAAAAAAATGGCAGCTTTTGTGAAAGAACTTCCTTCCTGGAACCTGGAAAGTTCCCAGCTGACTCATCTCATTCCCAGCTTTCATTGGTAAATTTCCAAATGCTTAAAGATGAGAGTGCACCATTCTTTTCTCACACACTGTCTCACATGGACTTTTTTCAAAAATCAGTCTGGAAGTTGAACCCTTCTAACCAGAAATATGAGCTGATAAGATGTTATACTTGGATAATCACAATGATTTTCATCAACTGAATTCCAAAATTTTTAGAGTCCTTATAACCAAATGTACATGTTGGTGCAGAGGAAAGTATCTGCAGTTTGAATGATGTCTCCTCCTGGTGTGCTTGATTTTATTCTGCAGAGCAGAACTACTGCACTCTCCGTTATCAGTCTTATGAATTACAGCATAGGAGATTGAAAGTACTATTGTTTTCTTCCCCTAGGTGAAAGAGTGGATATATATAACTGATAAACATGGACAACTTTATCTCCTCCCAGTTCCAGTGTGGCAGCCAGAGGATGTAACTCAGGAGGAAAAAACATTCAGCTTCTGGGGAGACATATCCTAGTCAGCTCACTGGCGCTCATCATCACACTATACAAAGAGTTGGGGCATTTGAGCTAAGGTGAGTTTTGTTTCAAGTGACAGTAACAAAGTGCTTTAACCCTGAAAAAGAGAGGACAGAGGAGTCCCTTCCAACCCAAACCATTCTATTATTCATTCTAAGTGTGTGTGTGATGAGAGTGCATTTCTGTAAATTATAATCTATCCTGCATCAGTTCCGTACCAGCACGTAAACCAATATGCAAGTCTGAAATAATTATGTGGCAGAGTAATTGCTAGTAACAGAACACGTAATATACTGAACAAATGACTGTGTATGTTTGCCTTCTTCAAAACCTGGGTATTTCTGCTTCATGGTTAGTAAAGCACTTTAGATGTCTCTTTTCATGTTATGGTATAATATGTCCTAAATTATAGACTCTTCATACTACTTATTAAAAACTTCTTTCATCTCACAAATGCTATTTAATTTCTAGACACGTGTGGAGAGACATTAATATTCTGTCTTTCAGAAGTGTGCATGGTATTTCTGGCAAGTTATAATTTATGAGCTATTGCCACTAACTGCAAGATATTCCTATTTAAAGAGATAGTGTTTCTGAGCAAAATCATATCAATTGCTAAGTTTTGCAAAACCAAAACAAAGGGAAAGGTATTTAAGGCTTTAAATTAGTAGAAATACGTTTCTGAATCTGTAAAAATCTATGAAAAAAGCTATCATAGAAAAATGCAGAGTAATCTTCAGTTCCTTCTTGGATTTATGTGAGGAATTTTTGATTTCAAGTGTTATGTTTAATGCCCTGCAAACAAGCACTATTCTATTTTAGCCTAAAAGTTTTCCAGGATTAAGTTATTCCATAAATTTAATTATAAATTCAAAAATTCATACAGAATAATGTGCATAAATGTGGTTTGGCTAGCATCCCAAAAGGCACATCGCTGTAACAGTTCTCTGTAGTTACACTTGCGTTATTTCTCCTTTATCAGTTTTGAATAGACCACAAAAATCTCCCAGGCCACTCTGCCTCTGTGGTCATAGAATCAATCATAGAATCATTAAGGTTGGAAAAACCACTAAGATAATGAAGTCTAACAAACAACCCATCACCACCATGCCCACTAAACCACATCCTTATGAGGCACATCTACACGTTACTTGAACACTTCCAGGAACAGTGACCTCCACCACTCCACTGGGCAGCCTGTGCCAGTGCCTTCCCACATCTGAGAAAATAGAGGCGAACTCCCACCTTATCACGACCTCTTTTCAGGCAGCTGTAGAGAGTGATATGGTTTCCCCTGAGCCTCCTCTTCTCCAGACTGAACAATCCCAGCTCCCTCAGCTGCTCTCCATAAGATTTGTGCTCCAGAGCTTTCACAACTCGGTTGCCCTTTTCTGGACACATTTCAGAGCTTCAGTGTCTTCTTTGTAGTGAGGGGTCCAAACCTGAAAGCAGTAGTCAAGGTGCAGCCTCATCTTGAGTTGAGTTTAGGGGGTGGTAACTTCCCAAGTCCTGCTGGTCACTGACGTAGAGATCTGCATGCCAAACCACAAAACTACCAGGGAACCTACTCCTTATTTAATCTCCCAGCAATGTAGCACAGGAAAAATTCTGTACTTAAATGCATTTTTTAAGTGACACGTTGTGCCACCTGACTTTAGATGATAGCGTACCTTCTGATCTAAGTAGCTGGAATTCCATGCAGCGCCTTGGGAAATGTCCTGAATGAGGCACTTCCTAAATGAGCCCATTAGCAGAGCTTGTACAAGCCTTTTTTGGATTTAAATATTTTTGACTACACTGGATAATGCCTCCAGGCAGAATCCCTATCTCAGTGTCCCCTTGAATGTATGTCATTCTTACGTTCAAAGCACAAGACTCAAGACAGGTGTCAGTCAAAGACTGAGATTTTTTACTAGACAAGTCTTTTATAAATGTTTCTCATCAGAAATTCCAAAACAATGAATTGAAGAATTAAATGTTACATGAGAAAGAAGCTAAAACACTCAGATGGTGTGTGGATGATGTGGGGGAATTCTTTTCCTCATAGCAGTTTGGCTAAACAATTTGCTTGGATGTATTAATCTTAATCCTTGTTGTTTTGTTGGGACTTTTTTATAACTAATTGTCCTCACATCAGCCATTTTTCCTGTATGTTATTTCTTACATTTTCCCATAGCATCTGTTATTCAGAAGAAACAGCTTCATCTGAATGGCATGCCATTGTTTTTGTTGGCACTGCAAGGGATAAAGAAATATTCAGTATGCATAAGAATAGAAATTCCCCATTTTTAACTCTCCTTCTCACTCTACTGTTTAGCCAAAGTTACTGAATTACATTATAGGACATCATAAAATAGAAGATAAAAATAAATATGCAGGGATTTTCCAATCTCTGTTTTCCTGATTAATCTATGTGTACTTCAAACATCTTGAAAACAGCAAAAGATGATATTTATGGCCATGTTTCTGGGATAGGGCTACTGACCCGGCTGAGACCCATGGCCAGCCATTGATCATGCAGAGGGAAACAGAAAGGTAAATGAGATATGTTCCATACAAAGTGACTTAACTGTGTGAAAATATCAGTATGTTCCCCAGTTCTGATTAAAAGAATTCAAGGTCTCGTTAAGATGGAGAAGGAGTCACAGTCTGTAGAGATCCCTCAAAACACAGGAAGACCAAAGGCTGTTTTCTGGTCAGTGTCTTAGCACAGAGTGTAGAGCAGCAGTTGCCCTTTAGATTGCAGTTGCAATAGGTATAGTTTTTGAACTGAGGAAACTGACTATAAGTCTACAACTAGTCAGTATGTTTGAATCACATTTTCTATGCACTGAAATAAAAGATGGAAGTGCCTCAACAGATTATGGTATTTTCTGCAGAGATGAAAATGTAGGGAAAAATAGAACCTGTAAAAAAGGTATTATGAGATGAGAATCATTAAGTTTTCTGGCATTGGTGTGTCTTCACACTTTGTTACATAAAACCAAACAGTAGCATCCAGAAATATCTAAAATTTAAATAGAATTCATATATATGTACTGAATGAGCACATCTTTATCAGTATAGTAAAGTTTTTCTCTGAAAAAAGTCAAGGCTTTATCACAATAGAAGGGAATTAATGAGACTATAGAAGGTTTTGCAATTGAAAATGCAAGCACTGATATGCGGCTACTATACACGAATGTACTTGATGAACAAATGCTTGTGCTAGTCTGCAAGTACTATGTAATGAAGATACTAAATAGTAAACTTTCAGGGCAGGTAAGAGTAGTCAGTGTGGATATATGTAGAAAGAAAAGTGGACTTGATGTCATATGGAAAAGGCTGATAAAATCTATCAAAAATCTTAGAGATGCAGAATTGTGACATTTATTGTCATTTTTGAATGGTTTGATTGCTGACATCTTCTCACTTTCTTGTTTTACCAAAGAATTCCATGTGAAGTAAATCTTTCCTTGGTTAAAAAAAAAAAAAAAAGAGAAAAAAAAAAAAAAACATGGAACACTTAGGTAGCTTACCAAAGGAGCACCTACATTTATGCATCTCCCACTGTAACTGGTTCCCTGTTTTTAAGTTGTATTGTGAGGCTTAAGGGGAGGGATTGAAGTGGATTCCTGCTGATGTTACACTTTCTTGCAAACCCTTCCATAGACTTATATCAGTGGAGATTCTGCAGTTACTGAGTTTTACACTGCATACGGCTAGTACATAATTTCTGATTATTGCCAAAGACATGCTCTTGTGAAATAGGTAGCCCAGCTCTAGCCTCCACCTATACTTTTTCTCTACCAGTGTAAAATTTAGATTTCATGTTGACCCTTTTGAAGAGCACTTGCTACCATAAGAAGGCAACTTCAGTCACCATGAAGTTTGCTCAAGAAAAGAAGGCTTCCTATGCCAAGTCATTCATGAGGTAACACCGTATATCAGATTGCCTTTGTCTATAAGTGTTAGGATCAGAACTTTTACCAAGAACATAATCATTTACTTGTTGTTCTTCCCACATTTTTTAAGAACAGGGAGACTATTTCTTCACATTTAAATGATTTCCTTTTATCTGTGATTACACATCTTCTTAATAGCCTTCTTAAAAATGCATCACTGATCTTTGTGATGTGTGTAGTGTGTTCTTCCGTTGTATGTATTAAAAAATTACAGAGTTATCATCTTTCTCTTTGTTAAAAACTGGTGAAAAATTGAAATGTAAAGGTTTTGTGGCATGGTTTTTTGACAGTATTGTCAAGGCATGTTCATGGCTGCCTAAGCCACACCATATAGATCTTTAATGAAGACCTCTACAAAACCTCTTGTGTGTTGAGAATCATAGAATCATAGAATCACCAAGGTTGGAAAAGACCTAAAAGATCATCCAGTCCAACCGTTCACCTATTCCCAATAGCTCCTACTAAACCATGTCCCTCAATACAACATCCAGTCTTTCCTTGAACACCCCCAGGGTCGGTGACTCCACCACCTCCCTGGGCAGTCCGTTCCAGTGCCTGACCACCCTTTCTGAAAAGTAATACTTCCTCATGTCCAGCCTGAATCTCCCCTGCCGTAGCTTGAAGCCATTCCCCCTGGTCCTATCACTGATGACACGAGAGAAGAGGCCGACCCCCAGCTCACTACAGCCTCCCTTCAGGAAGTTATAGAGAGCAATGAGGTCTCCCCTGAGCCTCCTCTTCTCCAGGCTGAACAACCCCAGCTCCTTCAGCCTCTCCTCATATGGCCTGTGTTCCAGACCCCTCACCAGCTTCGTTGCCCTCCTTTGAACACGTTCCAGGGCCTCAATATCTTTCTTGCAGTGAGGGGCCCAGAACTTCAGAGATGTAGCAGAACATGCAAGAGAGCTGAACAACAGAGGTAGGATTCTGTGGCAAACACAGGAAAACAGAAGAAAGAGAAAACGTAATAGAGAATTAGGTCTTAGAGGAGAGCAGAAATTGTAGAGAAGCAGAAGAAAGTTGGTGCACCTTTTGCTCCAACTCAGACACAGAGGTAATGTTTCTTCCTACAAGAATGAGTAGACAGAGAGGAAATGTGTTTGAAATATCCA